TTTGACGTGAAATAATCTGCTAAGAATGTGTCAAACTGTGGGCTTCATCTAATTATTATTACTGGAGCTTTTTGAAGAAACTTAAAATAATTAAAAACAACCGAATTGCTGCGTACTGCTAATCAAGCTTTAAGCTTTTATTTAGATTAATTGCATACAGTTATTTGTCTTAAAAACTTGCCATGTATACACATCTAAAATCGTTTAAGGAGTTGTTGCTGCAAACTGATGCTGACATGGCGGCTAACCCCAAGCGGGAGCTTCACTTTCGCCGGCAATTAGTTAACAGAGAGTTGGTTAGCTGGTTGGCATGTTGCATGCAACGTCTGTGCCTAGTATTGCCCATTGAAACAGAAATTAAATTTGTGACTAATTGTTTTCAAGTTAAGTACGAGGCAAACGCTAACTCTGCCATTCGAAGGCGTTCGTGCAACGCTCCACTGACAGCAAAAGCGACACATATGTATGTGTGTGTGCCAGTCTGTGTGCGTGTGTTTGTATTTGTGTGCATGTGCGTGGCACGTTGCAACCGCGGTCCAACTGCCGGAATGGTTTTGGTTTCTGCAATGCTGTTGCCGCCGTCGTCTGCCTGCCACTGACTTTGCTCCAAATGCTGCAGTTGCTGCAGCTGACAGCAGCGGCTGACGCCGGCGGTGGCGGTCTTTATGTGTGCGTGCGTGTGTGTGTGGCATGCCTCTTTTCAGCCTCACCTTCTGGCATGTGCATGTGCATGTGTGTGTGCTGCATTGATTTTATGGGCTTTCATATTTTATCATTTTTTGTTTGCTGCTTGGCTGCAACAATAATTTTGTTGCATGTCTGTCTGCGGTTGGCCACAAAGCCACAGATTTCATTGTGCCTCTCCAGTTGCTACTGTATAGACAGTAAATCATATAATCTATGCACGCATAAAAAATATTGAAATAGCTTATATTAAACGCTATACAATTGAGGATGCAGTTGATTATCCTGGCAATAAAAAAGATCGCACCATATTGCTAACAACTGTGCTATATTTGCATTTTAGTCTTTAATAAATGTTTTTAAGTTTAATCTATCCCATGGGATTTTATTTGTATATATACTACTTTTCATATAAACAATTACAAAGCTTGAATTTTAATATTTTTGAAGCAGTTATTTGGTTTGTTCTTTATACTTCTAAAATGCTAAAAACATGTATTAATAATATAAATATTCTTGACTAGCCGATTCGACTGCCCGCCAAACTATCTGTATCGATGGATAGTTTAGTTCTAGTTTTACGGATAGTATTCCTCTTCCATTTACAAACGATCTGTCTAAATCTATGCTCTTTATCTATAATTCTATTTTGAAATATTGCCCGACTTACATATAACAAGCTGTTCCTGCCATATTGGCAAACCCAATAAACATTTTCGGCAGTGTAATTAAGGTCAATTTCTTACATCGGATAATAAAAGCTAAGTAAAAATCCTTGCAATCTTAATTTGTTCATAGTGTTGTCTGAAAAACCATTTGGTTGTTTCTAAAGTACCAGGCACTAGCAAATATTTTGCAGCCAATGGGTATGAACAGGGCTAAGTTGTTTGCATTGTATTCCATGAACACATTTGAGGTATGATAAATAAAATTTCAAAGTTCAGATTTTCCGTACCCTTCAAAACTGGTTAACAGACTTGAAGCTTGAAAGTCATATATAAGTACATCACTAGATACAAGTTCGATGCCTGATTTAAAACAGTCTAAATTGATCCAATAGGCATAATTAAAAGTATATTTTGCCTAATATTATCCGTTTACAATTTATACATATTTTGCCTTTCCTTTTAGTTGGTATTTATATTTTTGCACGTCGCTAAAAAACTGTTATGTATTTGTGTGTTTTTTAAATTAAATTGACAGATTTGCACAACTGTCGTGCGCAACTTTTTTCAAATGTATAATATCCAAATGGTTTTTATTTTATGGTCGTAATGTCGAGAACGTGCCCATAGGCAATGGCCAAATGGCATATACAGTTGTCAACTGCATTTCGAGCTCCAAAAAAAAAAATAAAAAATATGTGATATTGTTTGTGTGTGTGATAATGCGCCCTATTGCTATCTGGCTTTCATTTGCCACATGTTTGACTCGATTTGTAGCAAAGCTAAAAAGTACAGAAAGACGACACAAAGTAACACAACAAAGAAGACCAAATTTGTTTTTGATAGAAAGTCATGTCAAAAACAATAGCCCAACTATTGTCATACTTTTCTTTTTGGAATTCTTTTTTTTTTTGCTAAAGTTTTTTTTTTCCCAGAGAATCTGCTCTGCGTACATTCGTAACCATGTGGGCTACTGTGGAGGCAACGGGCGCTTGGGAGGGTTGGGAATGGGTGCAGAGCACTTGAAAAGTGCGCCCAGCGTTGAGTTGTCCCTCATCAAAAGCTAACTAAAAACTTTTCTTTTTATTTCCCTGTATATCTATGTGTGCGTGTGACTGAGTTTTCTGCTGGCTAAAGTGGAAAATAAATGATTTCACAGGATGACCATTTGCGTGTTATATATACGTGTGTGACTGTGTGTGTGACTATCTGTAAACGGTCAAAAAGTTGAAAACCAAGCTAGAGTTTTTGTGCAATCTGAGGAACAGAAACAACAATAACAGCAACAATAACTAAAACAAAAACAACATCTGTGGCCAAAACAAAAGTCAAAACTAAAACAAAATAAAAAAAGCCAATAGAAATTTAAACAGTTTGACGCATTAAATACTCATTGAGCGGCTAGGATTTGCTAATACCCTGTAAATAAGAAGGTGCAGAGACAGAGTCTATTCAGCTATTAAGCAAAGTTTGACGCCTTCTTATTTAGAGCAATTAGGTAAGACAGAGCACAACAAATTTAATAAATATTATTAATCAAGCACAGATGTGAACATTTTGTTCTGGATTGAGGAGCTTCTTGGTATAGTTTTGAGTTTGATAACACTTAATGTACATAAATAATATTTCCTCTTCTGTCTTACTTGTTAATACAGGGTATTTGAAAATGTCAGCTCACTCCACTTGTTTGCATTGGCCTCTGAAGGGTTCGCTTGCCAAAAATACGCAGCAATCTGCTAGCTAACAACATGCTCATTCATGTTCGGCTAACAACCAGGCCCGTGCTAACCACTCTGCCCGCAAATCTGCGCCTGGCTTTAACCATTCAAATTCATATTTAATTAGGGAGCAGCGCTCAGGCCCTTGGCAAAATTTCACTTTGACTGGCTTCTCAACTGCTGCGTCAACTTAATTACGATGCGATGCTTATCACGATCACGGCAACCCCAACATCATCATCATCATCCTCATCGTGCCCAGCATCATCATAGCCATCATCATCTCTCCAACCTGGCTGCTGTCAGGGAAGTGCCACTTCATCAGTCAGCATCGATGCTGCCGGCGGCTGTTGTCCGCGCCTTCTGTTGCCACCTGTCCTCGTCCATTGCCATCTCCAACTTTATCTGCCCAATGCCGCCCAAAAGCCCCACGACCAGGTGAGCTGCGTCTCGCCATTCTGTCTGCTGCCGGCTTGGTTTGTGCCAGGGCTGGGGTATTCCAGGGGCGGTGCAAGGAAGTTGCCTTTGTTTGCACGCGGCCGACGTCGCCTGAGGCGCGCTTCACAGATTTCGTTGGCCGCCGTATGCCGTGTGGTTTTTGGTGGCTTTGCCCCGAGGCCAACTCTGCACGGCTTAGCGCTAAAATGTGTGCCTATCTCCTGGTGTGTGTGTGTGTGTGTGTGTATGTGTGTCCTTGTGTGTTTGTCTATGGCCTGATGGAATTTTAATTAAATACTCGGGTGTCTATGTTAATTTATATGCGCATATGCTTAGCAGCCCGCCAGCCACTGCAGACTACGGAACTCCCGAGTCCGACCCGTACCCAATGCCATTGATATGAAAATGGGTGATGTGCTGGTTGAAGGGCGAGCGGAGAAAAGGTAAAGTGCCGGCGCATGTTTATGATTAAGAGCTTTATACGATATGTTGTGGCGCGCGTGTCCTTGTTCTCAACTCGGTTTCATTGTTGAAAATTTAATTATCATTTTTAATGCTTAGTGAGCACTATTCCTAGCATACCGAATACCCTGCACCACTTCGCCCTAACATTGCGGCTTTTGAGTGGAACTCCGGTTCTTGGTGTTCAGTTCTTTGTATTTTTGGCAATGCCACTTGATATTATCACGTACCCAGTGTCTGTCCCTCTGTCTGGCTCTTTGTCTGGCTGTCTGGCTGTCTGGGCCTGTTTTGTGTGCCCGTCTGTCTCTTTCTATGGCTTTTGTCTGTGGCCTGGTTGTCACCTGGTTTTCGAGATGAAATGCTAAGAACTTGATATGGGATATGCTCGTAATTTGCTGTGCGGGTTTTGTCTGTGCGTTTACTTACGAATGCCTGAATGACCCTCAACAGATTGACATTCTCACATCAAATCGGGGGCTCCCTTTTTGAATGAGCTTAAGTTTTTAGCTGGCATCAATGTAATTAATAAATTATCTGATAGGATAGCCCAACCAGAGCAAGGGCCAGGCAAAGCAGATAACTGTTGTGAACTCTCGTATATATCCAACGAATTTAATGGAGCGTAAACTTTTACCTGTTGCGAACATCAAGTGAATTGCATAGCGTGGGCGCCTTGTTGTTAATTCTGCCCGTAAAATTATCCTGGAATGTTATAGCAATTGATGGTTGGTAAAAAAACTCTACCCTCAAATATCCTATATAGACAAATGTCCAAATTTCCCAGCCCCATAACTTGGTCAAAACTCAACAGATTTTTACGAGGTTTCGCTTTTTTGTTCACATTTTGGCCTCTATACCAATTGTCACTAAATTTGGTAAAATTATTTTTGTTCGAAAATCATGTAAACATTTTATCCTCAAATATCCTATTTAGACAGAAACCAAAATGTCCCACCAAAATGAATATGTGTTTATAGTCTACTCTCGTACTTACCTATTTTTGTTTCAATCTTGATTTATAAACTCAAACAAGTTTTGGAAAATATATTCTACGTTTATATTTAATCGTAGCTTACAATGGATAACATTCATGTTCAGTTAAATATATATAATAAATTATATATAGTCTATCTATCGCATGTTCTTATTTTTGCATGTTTCACTTTTAGTTTTTGTCCTTTCTCATTGATTGGGAAATCTGAACTATTACCGATTATAACTAGTACCTATAGAGCCTCGACTTGAGCCGCTGCTACGTGCTTGCATCGATGTTGACATTCATTTTGGCCAGATTAGCGCGACTTGTGGCATGTCCCGGCTGCAGTTGCAGCGCCCTGCGGTAACACTCCACCGCCTGCTGCCGTTGGCCGCGCATTTGCAGGATGGCGCCCAGATTGGCGTGTGCGTGCGCCGCCTGCGGATGCAGTGCAGCTGCCTGACGGTACCACAACTCCGCCTCTGCGAGGCGATTGAGCAGACGCAGTGCATCAGCGACGGCTGACTGCAGGGCATAATTGTGAGGCGCCAGTGCAGCGGCACGCAGTCGATACCCAAGCGCCTCTTGCGGGCGCTGCTGTTGCTCCAGGAAGTCAGCTGGTGAAGGAAGCAAAAAGGAGCAGCTTGTAGGGATATGTGTACGTAACCACGAAGTGTTGTTTCATCTTACCGTAATGGTGATGCGTGCTGGGCTCCAAGGGTGACAGTTCCACAGCGCGTTTGAACCACAGTTCCGCTTCCGCAGAACGACTGCACTGCAAAATATCCGATAGAGTAAAGAAAGAGGAAAGAGCTGAGAACAAGCTTTCACACTTACATTTCTGGCCAGCGCCTGGCCGTAAGACACATATGCAACACCCTCTTCGGGCTGCAGTTGGAGCGCCAATCGTTGTTGCTGCTCAGCCTCCTGCCACTGCTCCAGCTCGACATGCACTGCCGCCAGGCGTTGATGCAGCACCGCGCGTTGTTTCCGCCTGTCCATGGACAAGGTTGCCAGCGCCTCGTTAAGCACCTCCACAGCTTGTTGGTGTCTGCCCCGCGAGCGATGCAGCGCACTTAACTGAAGGTAGGCGCTGTATCGCGCTTCCTCGTGGGTGTTGCGATCGCGCACCCCATGCCCTGGCAGCCTGGCGCCTGCCAGCAGCATGGCGCCAGCCTCCTCGTGTCGTTCCTTGTCCCAAGCCAACAGCGACGTGGCCATATTCAGATATGCCAGCGCCAACTGTGGGCGCAGCTCTATGGCCCGGCGGTAGCAGGGCAGAGCGGCGCTGTAGTTTTGCTGCTGCTGATGCACGATTCCCCTGAAAGTATGCAACAAAATACAACCTATAAAAACTTGCAAGCTGTCAAGCGAGTATTCTGCTAATATAAATCCACAAAATGGTGTATTCAAAATATTATTCCGATTTCAAGCTAGTTCAGTTTTGCAAGCCCGGGTAAAGTTCCTTAAGTTTAGTTTTCAGCTGAAAAGCCAAATAATTAAGGTTTTCGACATAAATTTCCTCAAAAAATCTGATTATGCGTCTGGACAACTGAAGGGATTATTTAATAACTTATTTAGCATTAAAGAAATATGCTTAGTCCTAACATATGGTGCCTTTAGCTCATATTTGTATTATATAAATTGAAGCAGCTGCGCGTATAAGCACATTCCAGAGCATTTTGTATCTACAACGGTTCATCTGCTTCTGTGCCGTCTTGTGTTATTTTTTTCATAAAGCAACCATAAAGCAAAACTTGTTAGAAATGCAAAAGTGGATAGCGAAAAAAAAAAAATATTAGCAGGCAGTTACTTATCCCCGAGATTGGACCCTACCCAGGTCTAATAGTGTGCCGGAGTGCCAGAGTAAATTAACTTTCGCAGTGTTTTGCAGCGGTTTCTGTGGGGTTTCTCTGGGGTTTTGTTGCTCTAATTGCAGCGCTCGCTCAAATACTTCAAAATGTTGACCTTCAAGTATTTTCACTGGGCGCTCACTTAGTATTCTGTTTTTATATTTTTTATTCGGTCTCGCCACGTCGCTGGCTTCATTTAATTAACTGAACACACTCCGGTGGGCAGAGGGAGAAAGGGGGATGGATGATTCAAAAATGTCTACTTGCCGGCGAATCTGTGCTTGCACATTGGGTAAACAAATATCAATGGGAATGGATATTCATGGCACTCTTGGTCTGGGTTTTTAATATAAACAAAAAGTTCGTATATGCATGAATAAGTGCTTTTAAATAAAGGATGCATTTTATTTGCAGCTAGAACGTAACAAAACAGTGCAAAATAAACCCGAGCACAGATTGCACAACAGCTTCACAAAAATAACAACAACAACAGAAAACAACAGCAACAGAAACAACAACAACAAAAATAAGTTATTCAAACAAACGATGCGTTCTAAAATTTGTGTTGAGTTGCGACAAGAAGTCTATAAAATCAACTCGAGGGTTATTTAAAAATTTGCATAATCAAATCTGAATAAATATATAAAAATATTGGTAATTGTTAATTGAAAGTATTTTCTTAATCTTTAATATAATTATTTGAATTTTTATTATAACATTCTTACTGTTATTATTTAATTATTATTTTATTATAATTAGTATTAATTTAAATATCATTAATAATTGTTCATTATTATGATGATGATGATGATTATTATTATTATTATATTTATTATTATTAATATTTTTAATATCATTATAATGAATATTATTATTATTATTATTATTATTATTATTATTATTATTATTATTTTTATTATTATTATTTTGATTATTATTATTATTATTATTATTATTACTTTCATCGCACTCAACTCTTAAAGTCAAAGTACAAGTTTTCAAGCAGCCCTGCATATGCAGTAGCTACAATTGGATTTTTTTTATTTGCTTAAATTTTGTTTATCGTAGTGCAGCAACCCATTGAGATTCCCTGTAAAGTCTCCCGTTGCCCACAAATTTAGAGCCTGGCCAACCCTCCGTTCCATTCCGCCAGGGCTGGTTCCATTCGCAACCCGGAATGCCAATGCGAATGGATAGACAAGTGGGAAGCAATGCGAAACGAGCCAAGTGAATGCATGCGAATTGCAAGCGAACAACGGATGGATTTGCTCAACTGAATATTGAGTGCGACTTTTCTATTCTATACTATTCCACAATATAGAAAACCGAAAATGTTGTTTTATACCATTTTCAATGTTGTCTCGGCCCACTCTCTCGCCCTCACTCACCCCCATTCTGTCTCACTCTCTCTTTCACTCTTTATGGCAGGTAAGCAAACAAGAGCTAGTGTAAGAAGGGGAAGGGGTGGAAAAAGAGTGAAAAACAGAAATCGAATTATACAGCTCAGTGATTTTTCGGTTTTGGTGTTTGGTTGCCTGTTACTTGTAGTACTGCTCCCTTTCCCCATTTGCCCCAGCTTTGATGTGGCATGCTACAGCTAAAAATCACAGCAGCATCCAGCACAATAAATCCATGACAGTTGACTGGCACTGGGGCTGAAGACCCGCAGACACGACGTGCGCCTCATGGACACGTGGCACAAGGTAAAAGCAGCTGAAAATTTCGCAGCCGCAGGTTGCAAGTAGAGTGCGGGATTACAGGCGGGGTGTGTTTCGTTGTACGACTATTGATGGCTTTACGAGTAAATAATGTACAAACAGCTGCTTATCCACGTTGCATGTTGGCTGCCGCAGGGGGAGGGGGAGGGGTTTGCTATTGACATTGATTTTCGATTAGACGCCGGAAATGTGACATTCTGAGGCGCTTGCTTTTTATTACTTGGCAGCTTTAAGGTGCTCAACGACGCCGTCATATGAAGTGTTTATGGAAATGCGACCCAACTTGACTTTGAGATTAGTAGCAGCGGCTGCCGGCAAAGCCACCCCGCTCGCTGCCTTGTCCTCGTTCGCCTGGGCTGCATAATGCAAGTGGGCGGCGGGTGTAGAAAAATTCAATCAGGCAACTTTCCGATAAGCTGCAAAGGCAACGGCCAACATTGAGTAAAAGGCGCAGACGAGGAAAATGCGAGAGAAAAGCGTCTTAAACTTTCACCGTCGTTAAAATGAATTCTGTGCTTTGGCTTTAGTTGGACTTGCCGACTTCTGGATAGTGCTATGACAGCCGGGAAAGCAGCAGCAGCAGCAGCAACAGCAACTGGGGATCGGGTATCGCTTTGAGCCAAGTTAATAACTTGAAGCCTTAGCAGTTATGAAGTTCGCGCTTTGCTTTTATGTCGTTGACTCTATTTGAAATTCCAAGATGTCAACTGGTTGGAAACATATTCTACACTTACTTATGCTAACTTTTTTCCGCACTTTATTGTTATAACTTTATTATTCAATCTATTTATGCTTTACGTTTTTTAATCTGATTAATTTTAAAACCAATAATAATATGCAAGTTTATAGACTAATTTAGAGCAAACAAACTTTGTTTAAATTACATGAAATACCCTAGAAATGGTCACAAGCATGCCTGCTGCAACTCTGTTCCCTCTAAATTAACAACTCCTAGCTGTAGCCTAATGAGGAAAAATGAGGTATGCGTGTTTACGTTTATTTGTGTATGTATGTGTATATATGCATGTGTGTTTGATGTTGTTTGATGATGTGCATAGTGGGAAGTATGGCAGCTCGCCTTCGGGTGCAGGGTATTGCCAAGTCAGACATATTCCCAACTAGAGCACTCTTTTTTTTCGGGACTGTTCTTCTTTTTGCGCTCCGTGTAATTACGCATCGTCGAATCCAGGTTGGATTTTCTAGTTTCTTATTTTCGGTTCTGTCTCTGGCGCTTTCTCATGCAGCTTTTACGCTCTGTTTCTAAATGAAGGCAATTTGGCAACTGGCGGGGCAGGGGGAATTATGTACTATACTCGCATGATTACAGACTCCTTTATGCGACGCAAGGTAGTTGGCCCAGCTGAGCAGCTGCTGCGGTTCCGCACACCGGGTGCCCAACCGGGAGTCGTGCGCAATTATTTGTATTGGGCGCACAGCTGTCGCCAGCTCAGTTTGCATTTTTGTCGCTGAGGGGCGGCGGGAAAAGTTGGAGGAAAGTTGGCAAACGAACGAAAAGGGATTTGCCTACAATTTGCCAAAGAAGCAAAGGATTTCTGGCCTTCGTTTGCCGCTTCTTTTATATACTTTTCTTTCCTTCCTTCTCTTCGGTACTCTTCTCTTCTCTTTTTTCTTTTTTTTGGAGCGTAAAGCCTATTATGTCAAACACAATAATCAACAATAAGAGGGGCGACAACAACAACAGCAATCATGACAATGACAACGGGGCGTATGAGCATTGGTCGCTTGGCTGTGCAGGACTGCAGGACTGTAAGGGTGAAGAACTGAAAATGACGTGGCTGCATATTCAAAAGGACACTCGCGCTCATATGCCAAGCAGGAGGTGCGGTCGTTGAACACAAGAGCCTGGGTGCGGCCAGGGGTAATGCGTTGGCATGTTGGCGCATGTTTGCGCTGCCATTGCTGCCACTGATCCCAATGGGAACTGGAAGGCAGCTCAGCTTTACGGGCGGTCGCCGCAGCGCGAATGCATTTCCCACTGCTGCCTGCTGCCCGCTGCCATGGCAAGGGGGAAAGGGACGGCCTGGCTAAATGCAAGTGTCATTGGCCTTAAAAGCCAAAGCGGCAGCTGCAGTCGCAGTCGCAGTGCCAACCACTGAGCGTCCAGCGGATGCCGACGTAATGCATCAGCAGTTTAACTCGTATTTTCTCGCTGCATTGTTGCATCAACTGCAACACAGTGCAGAAATGCCAATAGAGCTTGCAACGAGCACAGCTATTACCAGCAAATGCTATAAGCCGCATTCCTGTGTCCTCCATTTCACTGGCCAATTGGCATGCAGTGGAAACTGTTTTAAACTTATTGAAAAACAACCAGCTTGTGTACATCACAAGTTGAAGGTGCTGATAATGGCATATTTTATTCCGTCTTAATTTCCTTTTTACCTTAACATACCTCCCTTCATCCTCTTTATCGGACTTGTAGTTCATAATTGAGTCCAACGATGTGAGCATAAGGTCTGGCCCAAGTTAGCATCTGCATGCAGCCAAGTTATCAAAATTCAACTTTCCAAGCGTATATTTTTGTATAGAGTATTCTGTGTGGAGCGAGTTGTAGCTGAAGAATTCAAATATTTACAAGCCCCGACCTAAGGCTTAGTAATGCAGACATTTGAATTTCAAACGATAGTATAATGGAATCCGTAGTTGACCGGCGTTGTCCGTCATCAGGTATCTTTGTTTAAGTTAAAGATGCATTGTTCTTGATCTCCATTCTATACATTAGCAGCTACGATACGACAAATCGAGCTAGGTCAGGAGGTCATAAGAGTGCTACATAAGATATTGAAGCTGGTGTAATAACAATAGGGAGAACACGAAACACAAACGATCAAGCACTGGAAAGTTTTCCTCAGTAATTCAACTATTATTCTCGGTACCTAACGCGATGATTGCCTCAGTGTAGATGACATCAGAAAGTAGCCCCAATGTTGGCGCATTATTTGCGAAGTTTGCCATCATTTTTGTGTTATCCCCCAAACTTTAATGTGTGAGCAGTTGTATGACAACTGAGATTAGACTGCATGGGATGCATATTCCCCGCGGCTGCAATGCATGACCTAATTAATGGCACACATTCGTTTCTGTAGGGGATTACAGCGCAATACCCGTTCAAAGCCTTTGCTTGTAGCGCTTAGGGGCAAGGCAAGTTAATGGGTGGGGGCAAAGGGAAGTTGCGCAAAAAAAAAATATGTATAGATTGAGGAGCCAGCGGGCAACTGTTTGCTGTTGATGGCTGTCGAGTGCATGCAAATTACCATCCAAAAGATGCAGAACATGTGCCCGTGTCCGTCCTGCATCCATACCCATACCATTGCCCATTCCTCCCCCTTCCCGTTGCAAAACCAGCCCGTACGCCCAGATGATTTGTATGCGCGCAGCGGTTTGGGGCAGCGCTCTTTTTTTGTACAACTTCTTAGATGTTGTCCAAACGTTTTTGCCAAGTGGCAAACAGGACAGAAGCAGCTGCCATTTGGCGTGCCTCAGACCACGGCGACCAAGCCTTTCCTCGCCAGCACTTCAGCTCCTAGCAGGCCCTTAACTGCGCCAAGGTCGCGCCAGCCATTCACTTTGAGCTTTTGAATTTTCAAAAAGGCAGCGCGCAAAAACTGACATCCATTTTGAGGATTCAGGTTGCATGTTTGGCAGCCGCAGAAAAAAACGCTGAACTGGCAAAATTGCAATGCAGGCGCGAATTTCGCCTCAATCTGCATAGAGATGATGAGTTGGACGTGCTAAGCTTCGTTTACTTACAGATTAAAGTGCGCATCTGCCATATTTGGCCGGTATGCAATGGCCGACTGTAGTGCCACCTTGGCCTCCTCGTAGCGTCCCTGGCTGCTAAAGACGCTGCCCAGATTTCCAAGCGCTGCAAATGAAAGCAGAACTAGTTTAATACGATGTCACTGGGAGTCAGATGAGCTTTAAGTGGAATAAATTGAAAGCTGAGTAATTAATTAATCCAATGCTTTAATAAACTTGATAAGCTCATTTAAGGCTGAACTTTTCATAGCAATTTTATTAAGTACAAACACAGCTTTAAGCGCTTTCTTTGAACCGGCCGGACTTTAAGTATTTTACAGCTTTTCAAACAAGATACTTCTGATTAAACTTTTCGCAGCTTTTTTCCATATTTCACAGTATGACAGAATTAAATATAGAAATTTCTTGAAGAATATGATATTTATTTTATGCTGAAAGTTTTCAACGCTCAATTGCCATGTTTCATAATATTTCGGCTTTGTTTCGTGTTTGGCACTTACCTTTGGGTGGATTGATAGTCACAGCGCTGCGGAAAAGCTGCTCCTCATTGTGCCAATCGCGGTTGCGTTGCAACGTGCGCAGGCCAAAGCTGACCAGCAGTATACTAAGGCAGATTATCAGCAACAGTCTGTGGGCAGCGCCGTTTAAACGCTGCCAAAGCTTGCTAAAGCCAAGGCCAAGTAGCAGGCAGTAGCCCACGCTGGGCAGGTACAGCAGACGCTCGGCGAGCACAAAGCCCACGTGGAAGAACAAATTGCAGGCGGGCAGAAACGGCAGCACCAAGAAGCCAATGCAAATGACAATTACAGACTTCGATGCGGATGTTGCGCTGCCTGGGAAGAGGCAGCAGGCAGATGAGCTTGTGCCCATAACTGAGGCACTTGGCTGCTGCGGCGATCGCTGCTGCTTCAGCTGATGATGGCAGCCGCAAACGAGTCCATGCCACGCCTGGCAGCTATTGCCGCCCAAGCGCTGGAGCAGCGGCAGCGAAATGCTTGCCACAGCTGTATAGGCCGTGGAGGAGCTGCTGGCACCGCAGCGCAATCGTAGGCACTTGCAGCTCACGGCCAGCAAGGTGACATAAAAGCAAGCGCTGACAATGTTGCGCGCATCCCACAGCGTCCTGATGCGCGGTATGGCGTCCATGCCCCAGTCGAAGCTCAGGTATTGTGGCCAGAGCAGCAGCTTAAGGTTCACCACGGGCAGGTACAGATAGGAAAGTGTGCGTGTCCACCAGCAGGACTCGTGGGCGGTCGGATTGTCAGCGGCTGAGAAGGCAACAGTGGGGCGTGGCACAATGCTTAGGCGACAATACACGGCACAGAGCAGAGCAATGCTTAAAATGGACAGAGAACGCAGACGATGCTGGAATTAGAAAGCAAAAAGTTAATTAAAAAAATAAAAATAAAACAGATATTAGGATGATAAACATTTTCCTTTTTATTTTCAAAGAATTCTCAAATATTACGCATATCATTATAAAGTAATTCCAATTAATTTGGTAATTACATAATAATCAAAACAAGATCTTCGCGAAATATAAAATAATAAGAAAATCAGAAAATAGATAGAAGTTATAATGAGAAGCAGGCAGTATTTTTGTAATTTTAAAAAATAATGAAATATTAAACAAATTACTTATTTAAGTAATTCCATTAAATTAAGTATTTGGTAATCATAATTAGACTTATTTCACCTTAAGAACTAGAAAACAAAGTAAAACTAATTAATTAATAAGTGACCTAAGAAACAGATTTATGTTTTAAGAGCAGCTCGCTTATAATTCTCAAGTGCCTGTTGCTTTAGCTGAATGTCATTGGCACAGTTCGTGGTTCACACTTCTGCTAACTATAAAGGGCTCTAGCTGCCACTCACCTTGTCATCTCCGGCATGTTTCAGTCCCAGTCCGCACAGCACGTCGCACAGTCCGCATAGCAGCAGCGTTGTAATGGCCGTCTCCTTGCATAACAGCGCGGCCAAAGCCGCAAGCAGTGTTACTGCCAGTGAGCGCCAATCCCTGAGCAGCATGTGGCGGCGATAGGTCAAGTAGGCGAACAGGCTGCAAACGCAGGCGCTCAAATCCGCGCGACCCACAACGCCAGCAACGGCCTCCGTGTGAATGGGATGTGCCGCAAAGAGAGCGCTGGCGGCCCAAACGCCGGCACGTGTGGGCAATAGGGTGCGTGCCACGAGCACGACTAGAGCGGTGGCCAGGCCGTGCAGCAGCAGGTTGATCAGATGGAAGGGAAAAGCTGCACCGCTGCCCAGCAGGAAATTGAGACGAAAGCTCAGCACGCACAACGGACGCCAGGAGCCATGGGAGCCGCTGTCCGTCAGCGGTGTGCCCCAGTAATCATTTTGCAGCAGCTGAGCCAGCGGCCCGGCTCCAGTTACATCCGCATTGCCCAAGATGGCGCGCCTGCAAGAGAGGGAGAAAGAAGGAGAGAAAGATAGAGCGAAAGAAATGAGCTCGCATTACCTGGGCCCGACAACAACCTGTGGCACACCTGTCCTATTAATTAAAATGATTAATTGTCCGCCCTGGCCAGGCCCTGCGGCCTGCCGCCTACTGCCTGCTGCCAAACTTAACTCGCCGCTTGACTCGACACGACTCCACTCTGCTTCACTCTATTGGGCACAGCTCGGATCGGCTTGCCTGCCACATGCAACTTGAGCTACTCAAATTCAAAGGCTGTGCCTTTGCTTATTTTATTGTCCTTTTGCTTTTGTGCTCGGCATAAATATTGTTAAAGTGCCGAGCGACAGGACTCCTCTAGCCCCCTTTTCGTGCCTTGATTAATTGCCGATTTGTTGGCGCACTTGGTGTCGTTGTTATTCATGTTGTTGTTGTTATTATTGTATTTGTTGTGCCATACACATACACACACATCTGCTCAGTCTATTGTCACTGGCAAAGTCAACGGCTCTTTGGTAATTGCCTCACCGTTGTACCTTTGCTTGTTGTTCTAATCGATTTCCAGAGTCTCCAGTCTGCCCCAGATCCGCACATCTGCCCGCCCTCCGCCAACGTCCTCACCCACCCGCACTGGGGCCCAGTTCCAGGCCATTGCTGCTGTTGTTCTCGGTGTTGTTTTGTTGTTATTGTTGCACAGTTTGAAATTTATAGTAGGTTTGCAATAATACCTTAGCTATTTTATGCATAATTAGTTTTCAACGTTATCCAGCAAATTCCATTAATTAACTTTCCCTCACTTCCTACACACCCAAGGCTTCAACGATAAAAGGTAAACAAATAAAGTTATTGGATAAAAAAAAGAATGTAGCAAGTATTAAACAAAAGTAAGATATCAAGGTCCGACATAGTGATTGATTTTCTTACGAGAGGCCTTTTTAAAATAACTATTATGTATTTATGATGGTATGGAGAGACGAACGGGCGGACTGTTGATACTGATCAAGAATATAATTTTATATATTTTATAACTGTCTCCATAGAGAGGGAGGTAAAGAGAGAAAATCATACGAGCGGACGGCCAATTGATCAGTATCCAGAAAAACAACATTTTAACAGAGCCAAATACGCGTGAACATAAAATAAATTAACATTTGCATAACAAAAAAACAAATAAGCAAATGAAGAATTTTACAATTTTGTCAGATGAAAATGCTGGCAACTTTGCGAGCTACAAACAAGCTTGTTTGCGCTTAAAATAATAATTTTGTAAACTGGAAAAATATCGAGCCGGGAGTCGAGCCTCCTGCTGTTTATTTGGTCAACCCACCAGAAAAATAGTTTCAGTCGAGATGTTAACAAAGAGTTACTTAACACTGAGATTTTTTCAATATTTATCGCTGAGAGGTTGCCTGCTTGTCAAAGTGCATGAGGTACATTTTGTACATATTGTTAATACTCAGTTGAAAAATAATAATATGAATATAATTTTAGTTTTCATTTAGTGTGAACTTTAAAAAATGGAAAGGTATGTGAAAATTCTAATAATGTGAATGCATTTTCGAACAAAGTTGACCGCTTATTGCTGAGATGTTGCACATTATTAACATTTAGTTTGCAAAAGGTTAAGAATGTGAATATAATTAAGTGTTTGTCTAAAGTGAACTTTAACAAATGGCAAGGTATGTTAACATTACAAATCTTGTTAAAGAAAAAAAAAAAAAATGAATTATTTGTGTTCCTAAATAAAATGTGCACACATTTTTGTTTCATGCATTAAGCTCTGTTAATATACCATAGATAATAGCACAGACACACACACACACACACACACACACACACACACACACACACATACACACACGCAGAGGGCCTCACACGAAAGTAATTTGTGTTTACTTTGGTCTTAACTGCCCCGCGGGCTGTAGTTTTAGGTTTTTGGCATACAAACTCAAAAGTTAACACAACCAAATGGCTTTATTTTTGCCTAGCTGCAGGCTATAAAAGGGACGAATCTGTTTTCAAACCATAAATAAAAAAAAAAACAAAAAATATAAATAAAAGAAAAGTAAAAAATAATAAAAGCACTTCATATGCAAAACCAAAATATTTTTGTAATTTCTAAAGCAGTATATATATATATACATACATATCTGTATGTATATTTATATATATATATGTATAAATGCATTTTTCAATTTTAATACGAATATTTTATTTAGCAGCTGGCCGGAAATACCATGAGTATATATTGTGAAAGGTTTGCATGGCGTCAATTCTTTTATGGCATTTATGTGTTTGTGTTGCATGAAACTTTTCATATGCATGAATGGTGGCATAAAAGCGGATTCTCAAGTGTGGGGGCGGGTGCGGGTGCGGACGGGTGCGGTATATGCCACAAATTGGGTTGGCAAATTCGACGGCGAGACGCGGATAAGTGATTGGTGGGGCAGCAGCAGCACCAGCAGCCATCACTTGGGCCACTCATCCACACTTCAATTTCAATTGGCATTTTATTCTGCGCAAAGCAGCCACAAAAATGTTGTTGAGAGCAAACAAATTCTTATCGGAAGCGCACAAAGCTCAAGAAAAACTGAACATTGAGCTGGAGTAGCTGCCACAGTGTGCATGTGTGTGTGTGTGTGTGTGTGTGTGTATGAGTGTTAGGTTTGCAGTTTCAATTTTTGCATTTCTCTTGCTCTCGCTATGCCAACGCATAACAAAATTTAGCTACGCCTCATTTGCAAGGATTTCAAGCAGAGGAGCCAAACGATGGCAAATATTGAAAAGCATTTCGGGCTGCATACCTTGAAGAGCTGCCGGGGGACATTGTATGCCCCATGCTGTGTGTGCTGCCTTTCGGCTTAATTTCTGGCTACGCAACGCACAAGTCAAGGTGGAGATTGGGGTGTGGTGAGCGGGAACAGGGGAGCGGGGAGGTAGGAGCTAGCTTGCCCTGACGACACTGAAACTTGTCGCCCAACGTCAGCGTCAACATTATCGTCTCATCAGCAGAATTTCCGCAGTGCCTTTTTTGTGCTTTATCATCGTAACTAGTGAATGAATAGCAATACTCTCAGGACAGGTGCAGGGACGGTAGGGGGGGGGGGTGCACAACAACGAAAACATCAACACCACCAGCAGCAGGCAACATTGGTGGGGCACTTTGTCAGCAGCAGCAGCAACAACAGCAACAGCAGCAACGAAAATGCCAAGCTTGAAGCAGCTTACAAGTGTGGCATGTAGTAGCTGCCGTTATCGTTCGCTTTTCACTCGCAGTCGAGAGCCGTCGCAGGAGCCGGCACTGGAGCCAGTAGACAGCAGGAGCTGCCAAGGCTGGAGCCGTAGCCAGAGGCACAAGGCACAGGCTGAGACAGTGGACTCTGTAGACAGAAGCAAGCAACGCGCTAAAGTGTTTCAGATATATATACTATCATAATAATTTTGTGGTTATCGATAAGTGATATCGATATTTAAGCAGAGTGCAATGTGATGGGCACGCTTTAAAAATTTTATTAATCTTCGGTTGTTATCGTTTATGTATATCTATCAATGGCAGGTTATCGATTACTGCAGTCGATGAGCTCTATCGATATTGAATAAAATATGCTTTTCTCATGACTTTATCGTCATCGGTTTTAATTCGATTTTTATTGTAAGTTATCGATAGCTAGCTTTGTTGGCATAAGCATGATTTTGACTACTTTTGTTGTTCAATAATTTGGGAATTTTAATAAGGTAATCGTTCCACTGTGCTCTGGAGTCTCGCCTTCACACACAGACACACACGCACTCACAGGACTGTGGTTGGCTTTTGTTGAAGACAATATATCATAGCATCAGCAGCGAGGAGGACACCCAATGTGAACATACCATACTCAACTGGCTCCCCCTTCCTAACCCACTCTTCCGCTGCTCTCCCATTTCTTTATCACCTTCTTTTGCTCCCCTTACCTGGCACGCCGGCGTTATGGCTACCCACAAACACTTGTATGTTTTGTGGAGCTGCTTCTGCTTATGTAAAGTGAAAATTTTCGATTTTCTATAAAAAAAGAAGCACAAAATGCCGTTGCTACTCTACACAGGTGGAAGTGGAAGTGCGCTTGGACCCTTACCAGCGTGTGGCCATCAAAAAATTACGTATACGTAACGTTGGCTCTATACCTTTTTGTTGCTGGGCGTTTGTTGTCGCTGTCCTTTTAATATGGCACATAAATTATTGTAAGACTGCAGATTGGCTCTTTGGTAACATTTTGTAGCTGTGTTGTTGTTCTTGTTTTTTCCATACTACCTTTATTTTTTCGGAAAGGCAAATATATCAAGTTGTGAGGTGTAAAACGCTTGACCGTAGGCAAACCTATTTAAAATCTGCCATGAAAACTCTTTGAAGCAGAGATGAGTATCACCTGGGCGGTAAAATGATATACATTGTCTACCTGTTGGGCAACTAAGCTTTATGGGCACAATTTGAGAGCATTACAGATTTGAACTGCTTTGGGCATAAGTATAACAAAAAAAATTACAAGCATGACTTTAAAGAAAGCCGCATACAGCATGCGCAAAGTTATTCTAAGCAAAATAACTTGAAAATCACATGAAAGCTCTCTAAAATTGTCAACATATTTAAAGTCAAGCACTTACTAGAAAACAAATTTAAAATATTTAGTTGATTTAGTTTGAAATAATATTTCCAAACATTGAAAAATTGCAATGTTATGAAACTCAATCTTATATATGATTTAAAACTTAAAGCTTTGTAAAAAGAGCTTAAAAACATGTTTAAAGCTTTTTAACTAAGATACTTCAGCATAATTGAAGATAGTGAGCTCTTAAATAATGTGCTGCTTAACTATTACTACATTTTTTGAAGTTAAAAGCTTTCTTATGTTTGCATTAAATTTATACATATAATCTCTGCTTATCCTATCATCAGAAACACTTAATTAAATGGATTTATTATCACTATACGATATATGGCCCGTAACTTTGAACATAACTCGTTTTATTTGTGATTTGTATCCGAAATATATCATGTGAAACTTTTTAACAGCTCATATCTGCAACTATTGTACAACAGCATACATATTATACCCATACCTATAAAATGTGATATCCTGTGAGTATAAACAAAATGGTAAAAACGACGAAACATGAAACAATTCACAACACACGTGAAAAATGTTTATGGATCGCTATGCCACACAATTCCTCCCCCTCCCCCTCCACCTGATCCTACCCCACCATAACACCCAAACCCCCCACAAAAATTTTGCCACCGCCTCTGTATAAGCATTGGCCATTGCTCTTTTTCCAGTTGATAGGAAACAAATTGAAGGGAATGCTGCCATTTAATAAATCATGTTTTGTTTGGCTTGGCTTGACAATAATAACTTGTGCTCATGTGGCAACTGTGGCCATGTTCTGTGTGTGTAACCACAACAACAACAACAACAACAACAACCACGCCAACAACAACAACAACAATAGGAGCTACATAGGTAGGCACTGCCAGTGGTGTTGGCAGCTGCGTGAAAGTGACCACAGGAGCATCCGCTGTTGGGCAAAAAACATAAACTCGCCAAGAACTTTTTGTCCCCGAAAGGGACGCCTTGTTCGGCTAGTAGGGGCAGTAGCTGTAGGGGATTGGGGCTAAGGTGGAGCTGAGTTATATAAGTTGCGTTTATTATTTGAGTCTGTCTGTAAGTTTTGTGCTTGTTTTCTGGCGAAGCCAAAAAAAAAAAAATATAAGGAACAACAAAGTAAGCGCTATTCACAAAATCATTGACTAGATGATACTGTATATAGGTAATAATTTTTCTAAATGCATATCTAAAATTGTATAGCTGAAGTTCTTAGTGAACATTTTCAGCTGCGACTATGAAAAATCGAGTGGCAAACGGTTGCATGCAACTTTTTTATTAGCCTTCCAATCGGGTTGAGACTTGCTTACAAAGATCTTTGTGAAAATTCATTCGAAAGTCTTAAAACACTTTTCCGAATATGGCGACAACGGGTGGTATGAGTGAATTATCTTGATATATATTTCTTTCAGCGTTTTTTAGAAATTCCATATTCCATATGTTAAGCTCTTATGGGTGGAAAACTGGTCTCTCAAAATTGTAGAAAAAAAAACATGGCAAAGCCAGGTATTACAGTAAGCACTTTCTAAAGTTTTGGAGCTGTTCTATCTAATATGTTAATATGTGGAAGGCTTTAGCTTAAAATCTTATATTTGCTGAGGTCATTAAACGTATTATGATAATAATAATAATGTCCATTAAGAAGCAATTATATTGATAAGCTTTGACATTTGACTCTAACTGGCATAGCACATTTCTTTGGCATTAGCATGCCTCCTTGGATCCGTTCTGTGGTACTGGGTATAGAAACAGGAGGAACTGCACAAAATAACGAGCTACAACTGAAGCTTTTGGCTGAGCACTTTGTGCATAACTTCCCATTTATGCTACGACCCCCTCGTAAGCTCTGTCCCCAGACCCCCTCCATTTGGCTGTACACAGTACAATTGTTTGCTCGTTTTTGTAGTTGTGGCGTCACTTGGCGTCCAGAAACGCAGCGGTTGACTTCGTCTATGGCAATGGGAATGGAAATGGCATAGGGTGGTGGTATTGGGGGAGGGGTCACTCCGTGTCCGGCGGTGTACAGACTGTGAACTGTGGCTGCCGCCTGACTGTTGCTGGTGCTGGTGCTGCTGCTGGTCCAAGTGCTCGTCCTCGGGGGAAATTCCTGTCCATTGTACATGACTTTTGATATTTATGGGTAATTTCGTTTGCGTTTGCGCTTGGTTTTGGGTTTGGGTTTGCGTTAGCAGCATTTCAATGCTAGGTGAGCGAACAGAATGAGCCTAAGAACAAGTTCAGACCAATTTTGTACAGTGACTGCCAGCAAAACGACAACATAAATCAACAATTTTTGTTTTTAATTTGCTTGCCAGCAGCCATCGTCTGACTTTGACAATAGAAGAAAATATATACAGCGATAAGCTGGCAGCTCGTTGCCAGTTTTACAATTAGGCAAACCGAAAATTTATTATTGTGATTTTTATCAAGCGAACGGCGGCACTTGGCGGCCCAATTAATCATAAGCATTCTGCACCACCCAGAGACCAACCGCTCATCCAGTTGGCCAGAATTGTCGTCCAGGCTGAGAGCCAGACGTGGTAAACTGGAGTCCCATTTACCTTCGTCAACTTGCTGACATATGGAATTTTTAATTCGGTTAAATTTCTCTCACCTGTCATCGTAGACAAATCCGGCGTTTAATGTGTTTAAGTATAGAACAAAGGCGAGCATCGTGCAGCCGGCAAGTCCTGCGTAGTCGGTGGCCTCCATGCTGCAAAGAGAGCGAGCCGAAACAAAACAAAAGTAGACAGTCAGACAAATGAAGAAAATATGTTCACAAATATTAAAGTTGAGTGTCATAAAATATATGCTCAAATTAATTCTCAAAGGCTCGACAACAAAGCACATAATCCCACCTGGCGGAGGCAAAGCTTTTATGCCCATCTCCAGCTGGCAATCACTTTTTTTTGGGTTTCTCTTTATTTGTTTTTTTGCTTTTGTTGTTTTTTGTTTCTTTGCTACAATACTACAATTCTTAAAGGTAGAAGTGTAATATCTTTAAAATGTCTCTTGTCGCCCAATATTCTTCTCAGATTACTTTGTCATGAAATCAGAAGGAAGTTCTAGATATTGAAATTTCATTAAATAACTCTTCATTAGTCAATATTAAAAACTTCCATTAAGACTTTCTGATAACTATTTCGGAATTGGTTCGCTTTTGGAATCAATTTTAAAATATTCGAATTTGAACGAAACGCAATAGCAATGAGCAACATTCCTGCGTCCACAGATGTTACCAATACACATGCTCCCAGTTTGTAACCTGTAATGGATATAACAAAATATTTCTGGTCTGGATTAACGTGTCGCCATAACGGGAACAAATCAGCAATCAAAAACTGTTGAGTTCAAACAAAGCGTAACGCACGTTCATAACGATTATTGCTCGAATGTTATGTAATTGATGCGAATGCGGATACGACCGGACCAGGACATGGCACTGGATCTGGTGAACTGTTGTCATCCTCAGTCCCAGCTCCATACCCATGCTCATCCTCATCGCCATCGTCATCGCCATTGCACATAATGCGCTGTTCGTCGTACCTCATGGCATTCTTCGTTTTATATTAGCCGCAGACATGTTGTGTGTTGTATGCATTGCTCTCTCTCCCTTTCTCTTTGTCTCCCTCTCTCTCTCTCTCTGTGTGACGGAAATTAAACGTTACGAGTACATTTGGAATCGCCTGGCCTGGCATGGTGCATGGCTATCGGCTTCGGTGGACAACTGAATGCAGAATCCAGAAATGCCACTTGAAATGCAATCCGCTGCCCGGTTCCGCTTCAGTTGCTTGTTTTTGTGCTGGACACCATTGTTGTTGCTCCTGTTGCTGTTGTTGTTGTTGTTGTTGCTCATGTTGTTGTTGCTGTAGTTGTCATCATCACCATCAAGCGCCATTACAAGTAATGAGTGCGGTAGGTAGTTGGGTGGAGCATTGGTTAGCTGGCTGGGTCGTCTCGGTCATTGCATGAAAATTGTTATCTCGCACAATGCAGACGATTTCCGGCAGGCATTTTCACATGTACACGCCCCAAAAGACACGAATGTCCTGCCCTTACCCCTTATCATCCTGCTACCGACCATCTCACGGCATGTGCACGCGCCAGCACAGAAATTAAGTCGCACCGTTTGCAAATGACAATGGTCGCCATTCCACTGCGCGCCGCCTCGTTGCGAATGTTGCTGTCATTCTGTTTGGCTTTCCGCTGCTGCAGGTGAAACTTTTGTTTCATTCTCTTTGCTCTTCTTAGTTTTCCAACTTATTGTTTGTTTGTTTGTTTTTTTTTTTTATTTTTATTTTCCTTTCACTTTGCACAAATTAAGTGAATTGTTTTGTTCAAAATGATATGATCCAATTGAGCTAGCCTAGCATTCCAAGACCCCCATCTAGTACTCCCAATGATAAGCACCGGCTGTTCGGCAAACATAATAACGCATTTCAGTTTACTTGAGCGCCCCCAAGCGTTCAGGCAAATTAGCTCACATTCAATACTCATGGCTGCTCTGTCTGGGCTCATATCAGCACTCCAGGCGCCCACACACACACACATTCACACATGCTAACACTCAAGCCCCAACCTATTCAAATAGATTGTATATCGTTTCGCTTTGCCATCCACCCACTTATCTGCCCTTCGCTTTATATCTATAGCTGAAATGATGCTGCTAATGAGTTCTAATAACGATAATATTTCGCTGCCATGTACTAAAAATAAATACAGGGTATATGCATATATATATCTGGGGCCACGTAAATAGACGTAATTTTAGTTTAGTTGCAGGCTGAAGTTCATAAATGCCTCAACTGCTGATTCGTAATTTCTTTTGATGGTTTTTGCTGTGGATGGGCCTCGGGAGTTGCCCAAGGGACTTGAGCCTACAAGAAATGCCAATCTATTATAATAGCTGTCATGTCATGTTGTATATATATTGGTCAGTATCTAAAGCCGATTCGATTTAGCCGTACCCGTCCATTCGTCTATCCGTCCGTATGTAGGAACGGGTTGATATGATAACCTATAGGAGCCAGGGACTACCAATTTGAAACGTTCCGATAGTCGATAACTTTTCCCCAAGCAATCGATAAAAGTAGACCTCGAAATTCTATTTTCTGAGCAAATCTCTTAGGGTTTCTTCTTCTTGAATAATATGGGTATACAGATCAAGCATCTCTCATTTTATAGCTACAGCCACCGCCTAGCGAAAGCTGCATTAGGTGTTTGTCGAAGAAGGTTTAGGGTATCCCCAAGCAAAATTCAGAAAAACATGTTTTTCCATGCCGCTCTTGATGAATACTTTCCGTCGATAAGTCAAGTACCATTTATAAGCAAATGCATATTTATGAATTTTTCAAATATAAACCCAAAATAAGTCTCAAAGTACTTAAAATATTATGCTAGCCCCGAACCCATTTATATAAATAACAACATTTTACTTCGCTTATGCAAATCTCATAAATTGTGTTTAGTCTTTCATCGAGCCGGAATATGCGCATTTGAAATGAGAGCATTATTTCAAGCCTTAGACTCGTGGGATTCCTGCCTACGCCAATGTTACATTTGTAGCTTTAAAATGGCTCTTTAATCTCGGTGTGGATTTCATTTAGGTATTTATATTGATTTTTCTTTATGCTTGGAAAGGATAACAAATTGAAAAACTGGTAGCCCAAAATTAGCAGGTGCTTGCTGGAAATTTCAATAGAATCTTCCACCTTTAACCTTTAGCCGTGAAATTAATTTAGCTTGTCATAAATAGACTGAGACGCAATAAAAATAAATGAAGGTATTCATCAAATGGCGCCCGAAAACAACCGTCTGGGCGACATGAAGAGGCCTTGAGACTGACACCGTGCTGTGAATCACTTTGCTAATTTTGTCAAGCCAGACATAAAAGGACACCGACACACAGACAGTCAAACAGACCAACTAGCAGCCCCAATTCCAGCACATGTGTACGTTCTTGATCATGTGTCTACACCGTGCTCTACTGTATACACAATGTCGCAAATTCATTGCCATACGGTTGATACGGTTGAGAAGTCAAAGTGCAATTAGCGCAACGCTGTGTGCTTGGCTTCGCATTTTACTTTTAATACCCTGAACTAATTGAAAATGTGTAAAAAGGGTGTATTCATCTTCACTTGTAACAAACAGCAGAACGGATCTCCGAACCTTCTGAATATATTCATATATTATTGATTCAGAAAGTCGACCCGATCTTGCCATGTCTATCTGAATGTTCATCTGTGCGCAGAATGTGTGTATGTATGCGTGTTGTTGTGTATGAAAGAAGGAAGCTGGAATGCCTCACAGTGCGCTCGACGCGAGGTTCAGCGTATCGGCTAGTCGTGCATTCCCGACTAGAGCATTGCTACTTGTTTTTTTTTTTTTTGTATCACTGCAAATATTTGCTTTCAATTTCGTATGCAAATGTCGCTTGGGCCCTGTGCCATTAATCACAGTATAGTCACCCACCCATTGCCGGGGCTTTTCTTATCGTGCGGCACTAACTGTGGAGCATCCCTCAGAGGCGAAAGCAGATGACAGAAAAAAATAATTACATTGTCATGTTTACGGCGCACTGAAATTAGCTGAAAGTATCAAAATGTTACCATCTTTGATGTTGATAGCGCGCAGAAGTCGCGCCCAGTGACAGCAATTTATGCTATACTATATATAGGTGTCTTTGCAAGTATTTCTAAGTTAAGCAGAAACTTTAGACTTTTTGGCTTTCGGTGACTTGCAGACTTTTGTTTTATGAAATCAGCTAAAGAGCATGTTGACCTTATTTCTGGCGCCCAATGTGGGGGCCAAGTGGGCGGAAATTGTCGCATACAGTGCCTTGGAACACAGGCGCACAGCACACCTTAAACCGGAACCGGAAACATTATTCCCAAAATGTCAAAAAACATAACAAAAACCCATTAGACACAATTCTGTTTTCTGGGTCAGGCGTCAGCACAAAAAGCAGCAGCAGCAGCAGAAGGCAGCAGGCAGCAGGCGGCAGGCAGACAAGCTGGGCAGCTCCAACTCCCAAAAGTGGAAGCACACAAAAACACAGCAAACAGAACAAAACAGCAAAGAACCAGGCAACGTAAACCTAAAACAAAACGACGTGGGTGGCCCTCGATGGTGACACAAAACAGCGAATAGACTCCACAACTCGACTAAACTAAGGACTGAACCTGAGGAGGACCCCGAAACTGCACTCGGGCACTGCTGACCAGTCACGGCTTCGGTGCGGGGCGCGGCGATTCGTGGGAGCAGCGAAACGATTGCGGAAATCAAGTTGTGTCAACAGCTTAAAAGCCAAAATGTAATAAGCCAGGGAAATGTAATGTAATAAAATATCAAATATAAAATGAAGCTGGCGGGAGAGCGTTTGTTGCCATTAAAGTTTTCTGCTTTGAAATTGGAAACAGAGGGTACAGTGAGCAGCATAAGCAAGTAGGGAAAGAGAAATGGATGCACAATATTCTGGACATTTACATTTTAATCGTTAGCTGAAAGTGCTGGAAAATGCTCGATATGACTGTTGATAGAATCGATAGTAAACTCTATCGGGAGATAAAAAGCTATCGTTCCGATCGATTATTCTGAACATCGATAAATTTTAACATGAAATGACATAAGAAAAACTGGCACTTAAAACTATCGAAAATCGAAACAATTTAAAGATTCGCCTATCGATAATATTATTGTTGATTATCTAAC